CTCCACTACCATGCTCTCCACTCCATCCAGCTGCTCACCCCTCACGCGGGGGCTGTTACCCTCAGTTGCGAGGGACAGGCTCAGGCACTCGCTGCAGCCAGAGACCTGGACAGCTGCGTCCCTGAGCGGGAGCCCCGTCTGAATTACCACGTCCCTCCTATCAGCGGCTTTCCTCCGGGTGACCACCATGGCTGAGTCCTGCCGCTCGCCCTGCCCGCGCAAACTGCTGTGCAAACTGCTGCGCCCCGCCCATCATACCTGTCTATAAACTGTTCTGTGTGGCTGGCTTAACCATTTCTCAGTCCAAGTATGTGTCTTCTGTCAAGCAGTAATATAAGACCATGTTTTTATTCTTTTAAATCATACTCTAAGGAGAATACTGCTCTTCTATAGTTAGCATATTTTTACTATATGAGGAGAAAAATATTTACTAAAATTGTAGTTTCCTATCCTCTTATCAGACAACTTTTTTTGTTCTCATTGCTTCTGATTAGCCTCCTCTTTGGATTCAAGTGTCATTTCACTGGACAACGTGAGTGAGTTGTCTGGTGATTCTCCGGAGCCCAATGACCTTGACAGCACCAACATACTGTCATCAGCACGTACTCAAACTGAAAAAGATGAACTGCTTACAACACAAACGGTAGAGGTTAAAGAGAAAGAGGTTCATAAAAAGGGTGAAAAGAAAAGAAAAAGGAAAGTCAAAAAAAATCAACATAAGTATAAAACCCACCAGAGAGAAAAGAAGCCTAAAACAAGAAAGGGAGCTCCAGAAGAAGAAACACAGAATGAAAGTGATGAAAATGATGGTACTCTCAGAACGCCATCTCATGTCCCAATTCCTGTTCCACCCATAGAAGCTCCTCCTCTTCCATCTGGGTGTTCCACCTCAGACACCACAGTAAGCTGTATTAATGCCAAACTTACACAAATACCACCGATCGCAGATCCAGATCTAACAAGTCTAGACCTTACAGGTAAATAACGGGTCTACTTTGCAGGATTTTTTCTCACAAAGTAACTATTCATTCTCAAATGCAGCCAACAGTAGCATGAATACTTTGCCATTCCTTATCACAGAAATGTATTAGAATTAGAATTGTACTGCCAAGCCCCTAAAACAGTAAATTAAAACCGTTAGGCTTGCTTACTAGTGCTTAAATACTAATATGAATGCACACAATTACTGCATATAATACAACTATTTTGTAATATTTTTCATGTACAATACTACACAACTCAGATGCTTATTGTGATTCATAACTCAGACTATTCCTTTGTCCTAGGAAACAGTATTACTGCTATCTCAGATGAAGCATTCAATGGAGTACCTAATTTGGAATGGATTGATCTGAGTAAAAATAATATTACCTCTCCTGGCATTGGACCTCACGCATTCAAAGTAAGAAAGCCTAACTTTTCTACTATCCTATGACTAATTATTGCTTAAAGGAAAATTTTCCCTGCTTCTCAAGTCTATGGATCTAAAACATCTTGCACCTAGAATGAGTCACCATTGTATAACTACAATGCAGTTAAACCTGGATCTTTCAAGAAATCTCTCGGGAGAGATTTTTGAATTACGTTCACCAAGCACTAAATGTTATGCACTAAGAGAGAGACAATTTTCTGATATTTTCTCAGCTGCAGCTGAGAGATTTCAGAATTGAAGGGCTTATATTCCATTAACACCACCTGGGATACTCAGGCCCAACATCTGTAAATTTATGTATCATCTTGCTCACTACAATAGCTCTGTAAAGCTTACGCTCTTGGATTGCCAAAAGATGTGCTAATGCCAGCTCTTGCTATAAAAATCCACCAAACAGTAGTTCACATAGTCAAGCTGCTTGCTTATCGTTGACTACCTGTAATGAGAAACTTTTGACCATAGCTGCTTACTGAAAGAACAGCTTTTTCAAAGTACTCTAAGAATCTCTCTACATTCAGTCTTTTTCAAGGGGAATTTATGTGGTAACAGGCTGTTCACGCGCATCTACATATTCCTCACTTGAAGAAAGAACAGCCCCATAATAATTTCTCATGCAAGCAAATATGTACAGGTAGTAATTCAGGTGTGGAAGTAAGGCAACAAAGGCCTTGATTTTTCAGGTAAGATGAATACAAAAAGCATATGAACAACAAATTGAATAATCACAGTACATTTTTGTCTCCTGTCATCTGCAATCAGTCTTCTTGTTGGGACCCTCTGTGTACCACCTCCCTCCACAACATGAACAGCTTTGGCGGATTTCAAAGGACAACAGTTCCTACAACTCCTGTGAAATCAAAATGGATGGAAAAGACAGACTAGGAAGGTGTCTCAATCATTAAATAAATTTTAGTGAGGCATATGTCACACCAGTTAAGACAAACCTGGAGGAAATCCAGCTTCAGTGGATCCACTGCTAAAACAACTCCACCTTTTAAGAAATGCTCACTACTACATGACTGCTAACATGCACTTATCAAAATTAAGCTATCACAATTTTTCATACCAATTTTTTAAGTTAGCTGAAGTCATACAAATCCTAGGTCACTGAAAAAGCTGCTGTCTTTATGCCTGAGTAAATTTGCTGACCTACAGAAAACCATCAATTTGTCCACAAATGAAACGTATAAAAGCATAATCTATAGAAGTATGTACTTTGAACTCCTCACTACTGCAGCAGTGTAGTATGGTAATGCCTACATGACTCAAAGAGAGTAGCAGTAATACAGTTAGTTATGATTGGATGTGACGAGTCGATGTGCTCAATGAAGCTCTTTCGGTTACACATTCCATTAACTGGCACCTTTGTTAATAAGTCAGCATAAAGAAACCAATTAATTAGACTGATAGGAGAAAACCAATTTTTAATCAAAACACTGGACACTGGTGCACTGCTGCTGAAAGCCTTCAAAACATGTGTTTAAGAAAGTGTTAACCATGTTTACACTCTCTGTTTAACCATGTAGTTTAGACCTTGATAATCTAAGTTCTCTTCTTCATCCTTACAATTAAGATCCTGAAAAAGCTAAAACGTTTGTATTTGGATGGAAATATGCTGGTACATATCCCCTCTGAGTTGCCATCGACTTTGGAAGAAATAAAAATAAATGAGAACCACCTTCATGCCATTGATGAAGATGGCTTACAAGGTATGTAGAAACTAACATCACTGATGAAAAGACTAAAATAAATATGAAAAGCAGAATGTTCAACCAAATGCATCTGGATTGATATAGCCAGAGAAATAACTGCTAGCTTTCATGTGCAACATTTTCAAAAGGCAACAAAAGCTGAAAGGTTTCCATGACAGAGGTTTTTTAAATTATGTTTTCCCTTCTTATGCAGCTGCTGCTCTCCCAAAGCAGCTTATACTTAAGGATACTAAGCAGAGATGGGTTCATCTCCACTTAGACCATTCATATCATAATTAGACTGACTTTTTGCTCCTTTTCCTCTCCTGCCACAAGGGTCCCCATGGAAACTGGATCAGTTTAGTGATACAGTTCACTATGGAGCAATATAAATGCTTGAGCTAAGACAAAGGAAATGTAGGCCAAGGGCTACGGAGCTTTTTAGTTTAAAACAATTAAACTCCACTGTTAGGAGGAGTCATACAAAGCTTCTGGGGGAAAAAAAAGGTTACTCAGATTATTTGTGAATTGAGAACTTATTATCATGAAATAGTATTTCTTGCTTACACGTATTGATCAACACTGGTTTCTTCCATGGCCTGTGTTGGGATGGCTGAGGAGAAGGAACAGTATAATCTGTGAAGGGTTCTCAACAAGGTACAGGAACGACTGAAAGGAGTAAAGCAGGGAGGGGAAGATACGAGAAAGAGTAACTTGCTCCGGTTGGAGCAAGTCCAGAGGAGGGCCATGAAGATGCTCAGAGGGCTGGAGCACCTCTCCTGTGATGAAAGGCTGTGAGAATTGGGCTTGTTCAGCCTGGAGAAGAGAAGGCTCCGGGGCGACCTTATTGCAGCCTTCCAGTACCTGAAGGGGCCTACAAGGAAGCTGGGGGGGAATTTTTACAAGGGCCTGTAGTGACAGGACAAGGGGTAACGGGTTTAAATTGAAAGTGGGGAGGTTTAGATTAGATATCAGGAAGAAATTCTTCACAGAGAGGTTGGGGAGGCACTGGGACAGGTTGCCCAGAGAAGCTGTGGATGCCCCATCCCTGGCTGTCTTCAAGTCCAGGCTGCATGAGGCCTTGAGCAACCTGGTCTAGTGGAAGGTGTCCCTGCCCATGGCAGGGGGGTTGGAACTAGATGATTTTAAGGTCCCTTCCAACCCAAACCATTCTATGATTCTATGATTCTAACATGCACGTTGTCACATAACTGCCTGGAGATCCACGAAGATCTACGAAGCCATATTCCAAAGTTCATCTGCACATAGCCGTGAAGTAGTAAGGCCTACAGGGTAGCACTATCCACAACTCTTACAGCTGCCTTCTCTTCTATCCTAAGTGGGAGAGAAAGCTATAAATAAAGGTCTAGTCAATCTCTGGAGTTCTACAAACTAATAAACAAAATAATTCTATACTTATCTGGTAAGAAATAAAACTCTTTTCACTACATTTTTTCCTTGCTGCAAACTGATCTGAGTAATGTTTTAAGATGGTTTCATTTTAAACATGCATTTTAACCAGGTATGAGATGGCATTAACTAACAGAAATCCCGACTTCTCCCCAGATTTAAAGAACTTGGTCACCCTGGAATTAGAAGGAAATAAACTTAATGAAGCGAATGTCAGTCCTGTGGCCTTCTACCCTTTAAAAAGTCTCTCTTATTTGCGACTGGGAAGAAATAAATTTAGAATTACCCCACAAGGCCTCCCTGCCACTCTTGAGGTAAAAACAAAACTGAAAAGCAAACAAACTCCAATAGAACAAGAAACCTTCATTCTTCCAGACATTTTTATGATCTTCTTTTGTAGAGACAAATTTAAATTTTATAAATTTGTTTCTAGGTATATTTATAATTTTTATTTCTATATTAATATTTCTAGAAATTTGCTTGAATACCAACTCCATCCCAAAAGGACTGAATTTATCTAGTACTGTCTTACTAAACACTATAGCCTGCAACTTCTGTCTGCTCTGTCACACATCATTCACATAGCACTCCCAGTACAAAAGTCTTAGTGCAAAACCACGGTAAACTAAGTTACCATACGGAGTAAAGCTCACAAGAGAGCGACAGGAATAAAGACAGATCTAGAAAGCCTGTTTCATAAGGAAAGGCTAAATGAACCAAGACTGTCTAGGCTGAGAGTGAGAGAGAAATACTCTTTTGATGCTTATATGTAACTATCCTCATCCTTTTTGGCTCGTCCCTGGTTTTCCAAACCTCTGGTGACTTCCACCTCATTTAGGGTGGAGGGCAGTGTGGAAAGGAGGTTTTATTTCTCTTCCCTGAACAGTTTCCTCATTCCTTGAATTTTAATCAAGAAATATCTTCTTTTGGTAGTCTCCCATCCCATTCCTCTGCCCAGAATTTGAATGTGATTAGTTGAAGTGGTTTGGTTTGGCTTTTTTAGGGAGGTTAAGAGCTATTTTCTACCTCCTTTTAAATCTCTGTCTAGTTTAATTCTCTGCTTAGCTCAGACTTTACTTCAGAGATTAATTCTTGCTATCTACCAATTTCACCATCTCTCTTGATTCTTTCCTTTTGCTCTTTCTCATTTCAGTGTCTTCATATTTATTTCCTTTTATCTTGGGATCTCCCAGACTGAAATGCTACGGGGGTGGGTGGGGAGAAAGAGGAAGAAAAGAAAACCAAATCAAATCTAGCAAAACCAACATCATCTTTTCCATAACATTAGCTTCTTTTGCAGCTACTGCCTGCAATTACTTCAGCCTAATGTGCTCCACCACCAATTCGCTCACAGGTTACATTTTTCTTCTCATTTCATCCCTCCCTGATGAAACAGTTAACACCTGGCAAGTTTTTCTGCAGCTTATGTGCTTTGCACATGTACACTGTGCAACCTCAGGCAAGACAAAAGAGATAACTGGGTTTTCTATCTGATCTTTCAAAGTAATCTGTATTCTCACAAATGAGAAAATGAAAACATTTGCTTTGAAAAAACTGTTTATGAAAGTCACACCACAGCTACCAACTGACTCTGATTCAGATTATTATTTCTTTATCCAGAAATTAACAGGTGTATCAGGTAACGTGAGCACAGGTAATAGCTACATTTTGAATTTGCAGTGGGAAAGAGCAGCCTATTTTGCTTTCACAAATTTTCTTTCCAAATGCACTTATAGGAGTTATACCTTGAAAATAACCAAATTGAAGAAGTGTCAGAAATTTGCTTTAACCACACAAGAAACATAAATGTCATTGTGCTAAAGCATAACAAATTAGAAGAGCACAGAATAGCACCTTTGGCTTGGATAAATCAAGAGTAAGTATGAATAATTTAAAATTGTTTTCTTTTTCTCTGTTATTAGTGAGTCAGATAAAGAACGAAATATTTGCACTTCATTACTTCTAACTTGAAATTGTGGTTCTCTTCTGAGCTAATTTGTCTCAATTTACTTTGCTTAAATTGTATTATCTAAAACTATTCAGCTGGCTCTAAACCAAAAAGATCTTATACATCAAATCTCTATCTTATTAACATGAAAGTGTATATATTTTTTCTGACCATCCAATCAAAAAAAGGAACCTTAATTATCAGTACAATTATATGACAATTTGGTATTATTAGATCATTATCTCATAAGTGATTTAAAAATAATTTAATATTGTCCTAGCCTGATTTCCTATTAGATTAAAAATTACAGAAGTAAATACAATGAAGGGAAGACTGCGCAGCTGCACTGTGTAAGAGTACAATAGAAGCAGAGCAAGCAATGAGAATGAAGGCAGCAAAAGCTGATACTGCCTGGTAAATGATTTGCTAAGCAAGGCAGGGTACCTTGCCATAACCTGTCAGCTGTGGTCCTACCAGTTGACTTCTGGATTAGTAAACTGCTTGATCTGGAAACCTCTATGATCTTACTAACGGCTTCCCTCATCTCACAGTGAGGCACACCAGAATTATTCTAAAGGAGCTGTTCACAAAACAATTCCATTTCAAATGGGATTTAGAATAAAATCTTAAAATCCATGTCAGTGGGATAACCACTAACATCCCAAGCTTATTATACATATTCCAGTGTAACTTACTGCAATTCAGCAATGCTTACCAATCACAAATTAGTCCCTTGGGTTTCCTCTATTCAAACTTCTCTCTCTACTCATTATAGTAGATTTCTTCCCATCAACTGATTAATTGTGCTTGATTGATAAATAATGATTTCAATTCCTTCTATTCCCAGAGTAATTATGCATGATCATGTTCCTCCAAAGGCCTTCTGTTCCATTAACAGAAACAAATTTCCCTTTGTAATTCGGTTTCCTTGTAACCATGTAGGCACTATTCTATACACAATGTAGCATTAACAATGCAGTATGCTACAGTGTTCTCATCTTTTTTTTTTTTCTTCTTTAATGCAGGAACTTGGAATCAATTGATCTCTCTTACAACAAGTTATATCATGTTCCCTCCTACCTGCCAAAATCTTTACTACATCTGGTACTTATAGGAAATCAGATTGAAAGGATTCCAGGATATGTCTTTGGTCACATGAAGCCAGGGCTGGAATATCTCTACCTGTCCTTTAACAAACTTACTGATGATGGAATAGATCCAGTATCGTTTTTTGGAGCATATCAGTCTCTGAGAGAGTTGTTTTTGGATCACAATGAATTAAAGTCTGTACCATTTGGAATTGATCAAATGAGAAAATTACGTTTTCTAAGACTGAACAATAATAAAATAAGGTAATTCCCAAGCTTTTTGTTTGATTTTTCCACTCTTGGAGCAGAGCCCAAACTGGTTACAGGGTAACTGAAGGGAGTCATCAGCTGCTGCTGAGCACAGAAAGCGGCATTTCCGCAGGGTTCAGCGAGCCCCAGCTGTGAGGTTCAGTGTGCTCTCCAGATCCTCTGCACTGTGTACAATGCCACGACATGACAGAGGATCTCATGTGGGTTATACAGAAAGTTTTCATTCAGCCACACTTGGCCATACTTTTCTCGGAGTATATGACATAAATGAGAAAATAGCGCAAGGAGAAAGTTTTTGAAAGAATGACTTGTAAAAGTCCTCAGTAAATATGTTACTGACAGAGAATTTAATACACTGATTAAATTACCACTTTTAAATCACTAAATAAACATCATCTCTGAAATTAATTATGAAATTATGAGTTCTCTTGAGTAATTAAAATATAATTCCTCCCACAATGTCACAGGACAGTCCCTCCAGAACGCATCTGCAGGACTCATACCAGTGATGATGATGTCCATGAGAACAGTGAGGAGGAAGAGAATGAAGAGTCACGTCTGGAACATGTTCATCTTGAAAACAACTACATCAATACAAGACAGCTATCACCACATTCCTTTTCATGCATCAGATCCTATTGCAGTGTTGTTCTTAAACCACAGAAGATCAAGTAAACACCCAACTTCAGCATTGCACAGCCCATCTCTACAAACACAGCTGTATTTATTCCTTGCTACTAACAGGTCTGCTTATTTCTGATTTAAATCCTTCTTACTGCTATAAAGAAGATACAATGTATTATATGCTGATGTAAGGTAGTAGTGCATTTCTTAATATTGTTCAATTACATAAACATTACAAGTAAAAATAGAAGCTCAACATTATGTCACAATTTTTTATTTCTATTGGCGTAAATTTTACTTAAAGACTAAACATTTAAGCAACACTGTGCCCCCAGATACACCTCTGCAAGATCAGATTTAGAGAGAAGAATATAAGTAAAACCTCAACTTTCTCTTGTCTTACTTAACTGAATTTATAACATGTTAAATGTTACCATCAGCTTTAAAAATTATACAAATAAAAGACCTTGTGCTACGAACACTCTAGCAATGCAAGAATCAACTTTCTTGAAACACACATGGTACTGGATTTGCTACCAAACATTCTGCAGTGCTAAATTCTCTTCTAACTGAAATTTCACAGAAAAAAAGGTTGATTGTTTGATTTAGAGCAATCTGAAAACTCAGCATATTCTGCGTTTGAATACAGGGAGCTAGAGGAATGAGCTCCCTTTCTATATTTGTGTATATAATTTCTATATGGATGCTTTTTGTTTAAACAAAGTTTATTTGAAGTTTGAGGTTGGTTGGTTTGTTTTAATAACAAGTCCCATTCATTTGTACAATGGTTAGTTTGCGAGCTTTTTATACTGTATAGGATCAGGATCATGTTGCCCATTTAGGGGACTAATTAGACTTTGTCAAAACCATGTTCACTTAGTGGTTATTTGAAAGCTTCTAAATGGTCATAAATCACCACTTCAGAGACAAAGTTGATAAACCCATTTCAGTAACACATTTGATGCAAATGTCTGATTAGGTCTACAACAGGAAGTGTTTACAAACAGATCTCTGTTTCCCTGAAAAGGAATTCATACTCTTTAAGATTTTTTTTTTAATGTCTAAGTTCAAAAAAAAAGAAGCATTTTTAATATTCCAGGTTTTAAGATTATATTCTTCCTCTAAAGTGGCCAAAATTTGATAAAAAGTAGTTAATCTTTTATTTTAAAGGACAACTTCAATAAGAATTGAAAGTAATTCTAACATCTTTCGTATTTATTGAATTCTACAGTTCTTTCTTGTAAGAGTAGTCTAGTGGTAGGAAATTATTACAGATCACTGTCAAGTCATTATTCTTCACACAAAAACCCCCACTTTCTCCTGGGCTATTCTGTCAGGCATGAAAAAACACGTACTGTGTTTTTTTTTTTTTTTTATTTCTAAAGGTTTTGCTGCCCAATCCTTTCTTCTTCAGAATGCACCAGAATAAATGGCTTAATACAAGGACTGACTTTTAAAAAGACATATAAAAGCTGTAAGCAACTGCACATCATAAACCCTTCTAAAGACACATATTAACTTCTGAACTGTCGGTTTATTGCCCTCTCTCTGGAAGCAACGGTTTCTCTATGCATTTCCCACACATCCCAATCTCCTGCCAACAGCCATGCTATACAATGAGCACACACATACTGTTCACACATTTAACAGAGAAGGATCTCCAAACCCTTCTGGGTTTTTCTGCATATTACAGACAGCATCTATGAACACCTGAGTTCAGTTTGCTTTGAAGCCATGCAATCATGACATAAGCAAAATCACATTGTCCTATGTCAACGTTCTCTTACTCAAACTATTGCCTGTGAGGCACAATGGTGCTTCATCTGCAGTGAGTCAAAACATAATGCATTTCTTGTAAGAAATAATCCTAACATACGTGGCTTTCTGTAAAAGGATTAATTTGGGTATCTTGTTTGGTGAAGTACGGCCATAAGTCATACCTCAGTGATTTGCTAAGTTTGGTAAAGAATAGCGAAATCAACAGGCTGAGTTTTGATAGACAAGGTTCTGCTCTGGGTGATTTGATTTCATTGCTTGAGCACTTTCAACATTTGATTCCTTCCTTCTGACTTGGGCTAATATTTCTTTGTCAAACACCATTAAATTCCCAACTACTGTTTTGAGTGACTAAAAACAACACCTAAATTATTAAAATGAATACTTTTAGACTATTGCTAAATAACTTCAGACCTTCTTTGCAACAATGCCAAGCAGTGTGTTCAGAAGCATTTTGAATACATGGACTAACCCAAGGAGAGATTTCCAGATAAACAAGCTGCTGTGTTACACCATTTTATGCATTCTTATAATAAATCTAAGCAAAACACCATGTATCATTGTAATTCTTTTCATTCAAACAGAATATTTTTATCAAAATAATCCAATTGATTTTTTAAAACCCACCAGAAAATCTCCACTGGATTTGCATGGGACCACACCACTAAAATACTGACGACTACATATTTATTGGGATTACTAACATACTTTTTTCTCCAATATGGACTTGTTCCCTTTTAAGATATCATAAAAGTGAATTTTATGTCTAAGATTTTGTCTTTGGCTTTTTAATACGAGTAAATTGTTCCTAGAAGAAGCACTTGATAACATAATATAACACGACCTAAGACTACGATGCAAATAGAATGCACAGTAGTGAAACAGACTGAAGGAAAAACATTTTGGAACGGGAACACAACAGTAGCAGAGGCAGAAGACCAAGGAGAAAGAAGCCAAGAGATGAAGGGTATGAAAAACCAGAATTTCTTACTCACTTAAGAAATACACGGGCAATTAAACTTGGATAACGTTTCCATACATCACATGTAAGCAGTTTAAATCCGTTCACTCTTCAAAATTACCAACTACATTGGAAACAAAATGGGCTTTATTATTAAAAAAACCATTACTTTTTAACAGTGAGCCTCAAAGGATTTTATAAACAAAGTAAATGTGTTTATCTCCATTTTACAGCTTGTGACAGTATGACACAGGGAAGTGACCTGACCATCCTTGGTCAAGAAACATATGGGAACAAACTCAGAATCTTTGGCTGCCAGTAGGATAATAATATTCAGGGACAGCCCAACGCAACCGCCCTACAGCTACTGTTTATTCTCCAAAATATATTTCAGCAAATAATTATTTTTTACAGGCTTACATTGGAAATCAATATATTTCCAGAAGGTATTAGATTGAGAATGGAATACAGTTCTGCAAAAGCATTAACAGACTCAGAAGTCTTATAAAATAGTATGGACCAAACATTGTAACAGGCATTAGATATTCCCATGGAATTGAAATAACTTGCTTGCACCTTGGTCATGTTGGTCCTTGAAGTCATACAGACGTAGGCACCATTCCATCCCTTAGACTGACAAGAGCTGAGATATACTGGGAGAGACTCCGTATTAGACTGGAGAAGTGAGAAGTGTGGCCAGCAGGCCAAGGGAGGGGATTCTGTCCCTGTACTCTGCTCTCCTGAGACCCCACCTGAAGTGCTGCATCCAGCTGTGGCGCCCCCAACATTGACCGGATATTGAAGGATATTGACCGGTTGGAGCGAGTCCAGAGGAGGCCACGAAGATGCTCAGAGGGCTGGAGCACTTCTCCTATGATGAAAGGCTGTGAGAATTGGGCTTGTTCAGCCTGGAGAAGAGAAGGCTCCAGGGAAACCTCATTGCAGCCTTCCAGTACCTGAAGGGGCCTGCAAGGAAGCTGGGGGGGACTTTTTACAAAGGCCTGTAGTGACAGGACAAGGGGTAACGGGTTTAAATTGAAAGTGGGGAGGTTTAGATTAGATATCAGGAAGAAGTTCTTCACGGGGAGGGTGGTGAAGCACTGGAACAGGTTGCCCAGAGAAGCTGTGGATGCCCCATCCCTGGGAGTGTCCAAGGCCAGGCCGGATGAGGCTTTGAACAACCTGGTCTAGTGGAAGGTGTCCCTGCCCATGGCAGGGGGCTTGGAACTAGATGATCTTTAAGGTCCCTTCCAACCCAAACCATTCTGTGATTCTATGATTATTCCTAGATAGGTGGAATAATGATTACCCACAGGAAGTCCCTGTGCACATCGGCAAGTCCCTAATGAGAACATGGTTTGAGGAGGAAAACTGTTAAGCCAATCAAGTAACCGTTGTGACAAACAGTTGGATTTGGGTAGATGCACAGAAGTACTCTCATTTCTTCTGCTCTCCACATGCAGATGTAGCTGCAATTTGTATTCACAGGTAAATTCAAGAGAGAACAAGCTGCAAGTTGCTAAGACTGCAGAGATGGCCCGTTAGAATATTTGTAACCATTGCAGAGATAAAATTCTCAGAGTAGAGCAAAAACCTGACTAAGTGATTTTTAGTAATCCAACCAGAGACAAAGGTATGGTAATGATATATAGTATTACTAATAATACAATGAGGTAAGTAAATCGCGATATTGCAGGATGAAATGCAAGCCTTGGAAACTGTGAGAGGGTAAGATATTTTCATGTCAGTAAGAGACCCAGGATAGCAAAGATTGAATAGCCACAGCAATTCCAGAACCAGAATGCTTTGCCGCATAAGAGGAATTTTGGGGCTTCAGACTCTCTGCCTGTTACAAGTTCTGATTTGCATTGTTGGCTCCTGCATCATACATAAGAATTTGGATAAGACTTGCTAAATCCTTTGGATAGGTTCCATTATGAATTCAAACATAAGAGAAGATACCCTGTGGTTATCACCATATTAATAGAAAAGGCATTGATGCTGACATTTTTATTGAGTAAGATCTTTCTACTGATTAAATGATGACAGAACTTGGAGGATCTGCCTGAACTATTGTTTTGTGCACAGGGATGTACAACTTTGGTAAGATAAAAACCACAAAGGTGTCCAACAAAATAAGGATGTTACCATGGAAGCTTGGGTAGCTTTCTGACTTTGAAGCAATGATTAGAGGCAAATTTTGCTCTAAGGTAAGGTAAAAGATCTTTCTTTTAAAAAATACCCTCAGAAAAATAAAGGCATCAAATGCCTCTCAAAGTGAGATAGTTATTATTGTTTCCCATATGTTGAGGCT